CTGTCCTGTCCCTTACCCCCTGGCACCCGGCCCCTGCTCGGCTTGTGGGCAGCCATGAGCTCAGCAGGTGTGCTCCACCACATCCTTCCCCCACGGGTTTCAACCACCGAGTCTGCTGACACTTCCCGAATGTCCCAAAATTATGAGCTAAATGTATCCCTCCTTCTTTAAATTGTGAATGTCAAGTTTTGTGTTTCAGTAATGGGAAAGCTGACTAATAACACACTGCTTTAACCCAGCCTGGCTTCCTCACAGACTGAGAAGTATCTGTTCTCACTCTTCTGCCACTAAGGAATACTTAAATGGGAAAACTTAAGGGAATTAGGTCTAAGGAAATCTGAATGTGTCTTTTCTTTGAATAAAGGAGGATATAAATGTTGGTGACATATAATACATACACAGACATACATACATATAATATATACATATATAGTATATGTCACCAACATTTTTGCTACTCACTCATTGCACTATTTCTCACTCTGATCCTTTTCCCCAGCACTGGACCAGATGCTAAATTTCACATCCAGTGTTTTTTATGTTTGACAAATGGATTATCATTGTTGTGGGGAAATCCGTTTTTTTTTTTTCACATATACTATCAATAGTATCGATCCATACTATTTGTAGTCTATTAGTAAAATGTATGGTTTAATTTTCTTAAAATAAGGATTTTGAACTTTCTCTAGTTGTGACAATAAAAAGAGAATGATATATCTCTGCACATCATATACACATTTTCACACACCAGATCATTTTTAGAACAAACAAATGATCCCAAAGGAAGGAGACAGTTTTCTTCAAGGAAATGAGGACGAGGTGTCATCAGGCATAAGTGTCATTAGGAATGTGACCCGTTCTCCAGGGTCTACCTTCTGTCACCCAAGAACTTTCTCTAAAAATAGCACACAAGATTTCACTTTAAAAAATCTTTTGTTCACAGAATGCCAGAGGAGGCCTGGCTTCTCTTTCCTTACCTCTATTCTCTGTCATTAAAGCTTGGGCTATAAACTTCACGCAACCTATTTCTTGCAGACATGTGGCTCCCTAGGTGTGGAGAGGAGAGAGGAACTAGAGACAGAGGCAGTTTCACTCTGAGTCACACAACGTAGGAGAGAGACCTGTGCACCCAGGGACTTCCGATCTCACTGCCCTTCTGAGCTGCCCCTGTCCACAGGAAGGAGTAGATAAGCCTTCTGATAAGTGGAAATCTGTTGGAATCCCTTTCGGCAAGAAAAACCACATTATCCCAGCCTGTCAAAAACACAGTTTGGATTTCAAAGGGACTGATCTAGTAAGTCACCAACAAATCAATCCATATTTTTGCCGTGAAAAATGGCTTCATTTTTTTCATTGAGAACCTATCCTATGCTTATTAGACAAATTTTAGACAACACAAAATGCACAGGTAGTACAGCCATATTTGAACCCAAGCGGCCAAACTCCAGAATAAATGATCTACAATCTGTCATAAGTAATTAGTATTGCCTTTACATCTCTCCTGAATATAAAAAGTGTTCAATAGCTATTTGAATCACAGCCTAGTGGAAGAACAAGGGAGATTTTTTTTTAGAACCTACAGCAAAAAACAGAATCTTAACATATGTAAAGAAATTATTATAGCCAGAATGCTTATCAGGTAGAAGACATTCTACCAAGTAATGTGTGTGTTTGCACACACATGTGAATTTGCATGTAACTGATCTTGCTTAATATTCCAGTAATCTGAGGCTGGGGATTTAGCTCAGTGGCATAAGTACCTGCCTTGCCAGCAGGCAGTTGTGAGTTCAATCCTTGGTACTGATAAAAATGAAAAAAAAGACAAAAAAAAAAAAAAGAAAGAAAAAAATTATTCCAGTAATCTGTCAGTTACAACTTATTCTAATCATTCTACGGATGTGGCAACTAGGGTACAGAAGTTTACACAATTTTCCAACCTCACAAAGTTGATACTGTGTAAAGTTTAAATTTAGATCACAATCTCTCTGTGGCCAGATTCTTAACTTTTAGCAGGAAGTTAATGAGTCTCAGTAGGCAGTTATTATGAAAAACAAAACAAATATAAAGAGGAAGGAAAAATATCACGGATCATCTTCTTACAGTTTGCAATAGTGACTGAGCACCAGATTGCTTGGTGTTGACCCTAAATTAGCTGTCAGTAAACTGCATGATGCAAGAAGACCAGTTCTCATCTGCAATTTGGTTTCCTCATCTATAATATGAGCAGTGTGTATTAGGTTACTGGTTCTGAATCTTTTACTGATTATAAGCCACTCTCAAGAGATCAACTGTACTCCCTCGCCCCACAAAATGTATACATGAACCCTACACATAAATCTCTACAATCAATTCATTGGTGGTATCATATTATGTATTTATTATCAGTCTTTCTCATTGAAATGTAATATACATGAACTCAAGAGAATCATGAATATTGCCCGTATCTTCAGTTACTAAAACACTCGGTACATCATAGGCTCTCAAATCTGTTACTTGCAATGAATAAATTGGTGAAATCTTTTTGTCTTCTTGAAATCAAATCATATTCCCAGTTTAAAAATCCCTCGATGAAATTATTCCAAAGTTCTTTCTGGTTCTGAAATGTCTAAGATTGAACCAAATACAAAATCTAAACACTCCCCTGTTTTGGATCAATAATCATGGGTCTTTTATGTGTTTCAACATTTTAAAAAAAAGTAAATTTTTTTACCAACTTATTTAACAATGAGTATGGGCACATGTGCTATCACACAGGATACTAATCTTTTAGTATCAACCCTGCTTATCTCTGACAGCTGTTACTTATCCACATACATTTACCACATGATGAAACCCAGGCCAGTAGATAAATACATTGCATTTCCTGCTTCTTATAAACTGCCTGTAAAGCAAACAGAGATCATTTCTGTTTAAGGTACAATTCAGTTGTATTTCTCCTTAAATTACATAATTTAAACATTATCAGGACTTAACATAATTCCAAATGTCTCCTTAATGAGGTAGCAACTAAACAGGTTAAGACAGAATTTAATATAAATAAATCAGACTTCCTTAAGTAATTGTTACAGTGACAAATCCATGTACTCACTAGTACCAACACATTTTTAAGATGCACTTTAAGTATAAATTTTTGGCTTGGTAAAATGTAGAATAGCTCTTCCATTGTGACTTCCATATTCAAAATAAGACATCATTTAGCATTTATTCAACATTCCAGGTATTTTGTTACATCCGGTACCCATTATTTAGGCATTGTGCATGATGAAGTTTTAAAAGCCTTTAGAGAGATTACTGTGTAAGATCTTCTTTGTCAAAAATAATTTTTAAAAATACTATTATAGTAAACACAATTCATTTTTAGTTAACTTGGGATGATATGACTATTATGGCACTATTCCTGAAATATGCTATCTAAAAAAGTCTTAATCTATTACTTAGCTGTGGCAATAACTAATTTGGATTTGTGTAAACAAATTTACAGTACATGAAATTTTTGTTGTGTGTTTTACATAATTCCAGTCTCTTCATCATACAGATTTATACATGATTCTTCAAGTGACCTCCCCTGGAATCCAGTTAACTGCTTTTCTACTTTTAAAAAAGAAAGATTCCAGTAAAATAGACTGAGGTAAAACAATAAGGCCATATAACTCTTTGTTGAAAAGAGAATAGTTAAACAGAAGTCCATGTCCATGTCCACAACAGCCAAATAACAGAATAGATATTATGTGATATTACTATAATATTCAGGTATATTCTCCTAAATCATTCCTAATTCCTACTTTCTGACACATTAGTTATGATGCTCAAAGTTAAGGAGGGCAGAAATAAAAGGTTTTTGTCTCACTTTACTGGCCACACTTTTTAAACAGTTGGCTTGTTCACTGATAGTTGGAGGTATACAAAATATGAGAGAATTGTACAAAAGAAATGAAGGTCTGAATAATTAATCCATTCCAATTCCTGAGTGGTATGTGTGTGTGTGTGTGTGTGTGTGTGTGTGTAAGGGTGACTAAGTTACAAGAAACACTGAAGACAATAATTTTAAGTTAAAGATACTTATTCCGCAAACTGATGAATCATCAAATTGTCAAGAGATATTGAATAGAGGAAAAGGGAGAAAAAGACATTGCCAAACTTTGCAGTTCTCTTTCCATTAAATATTTAGTGACTATAAAGTCATTCAGTCCTGGAGAATCAACCCTGGGTATATATTCTAGAAAGTAGACCTTCTCAACATACCACATAATGTTTAACATAGCTTTCTCTTAAAATAATATTGTCAGCAGGCAGTTTTAAGTGCTTATACTTGGGGGGAGGGGAATCAGAGGGCAGTAAGTGAATAGGTCAGGAGTAAAAAAAGTGGAATTCAAACATAAGAATAAGAATAAGAAAAACAGTATGGAGAAACTTGAAGCTGTTAGATACGAAGAAGATCCAGGATGTTTTTGCTAATTTTAATTATTTATTTTATGTTCATCTTCTTATTGATGAACTAGTTTCATATCCCATATACAGGTAAATGCAAATATTGTGCCTGTAGTATGCACATAATTTAATCATACATTTCCCAATAAAAAGCCCTTTACAGTAGCTAGTACAGTTCAGATTGTGAAATTATTAATATTGAATTTATAACAACCTACATGTGATATGTGTTACCAAGCATTTCAACAACCAATGATCCAGAATTTCTCTCTAATCATTATTCTTGCCTCTTTGATTCCCTTGCTATTTAAAATTCTGGAGGAATACATACTGTATTATTTTCTTTTTGAGTATATTAGTATTAAAAATCATAAAATTAACAGGAAATGAAGAAAAATAAAGGAAATAAAAAGCAGAATCATACAGTTCTGTTTTTAAGAGGTCGTGTATGGAGAGAAAGTATGCGAATACAGCCATGTCCCTCTACATTACCTTATCTCTCAACATGATAAGAAACAGAAATGAAGGCCAGGGGCTCTCCTTCATGAGTAGCAAGAAAAACAGCTCTAAAAGAGAAAAGACACATATCCTGTAAGGGAAGCACAACCTCGAGGGATATTCTTTTTAAATGAGACTGCAATGAGATAAAAAGGTTACTGATCAATACATTTATATTTTACATGTAAAAATTCTTCAAGGTATCAAAGAAGTCAAAATGGAGAGAGAAAGAGTGTACTAACACAAAAAAAATACAATAGGAAAAAAATTAAGTGTATTTATTCCTCGACTGCACTAATGAGTAATGAAATTATAAGGAGACCCTGGATAAAAGGGAAAAGAAAATAAAATTTGTTTTAAAAACATCATTAATTTTTTTCTTCATGGTCAAATGGTAAACTCTCTCCAGAGGAAAAAATATCATTTCAAAACAATGAAATTGCAAAATAATCTTTAATTTGGAACTACCAAAGTGCATCTCGGAGAGCACCTCAGACGATACTGAAAGGAAAGCTGCACTGCTCGCCCCGCTCCTTCCAGCTCAGGGTACTAACAGGAGTCACAGAAGTTTGCTTCTGTGCCCCACATCATTATGGTCAAGGTCACAGTTTTTGTTTTTCCCAAGAGTGAGCTACAACTGCCCCTAAGCTGCAGCTTCTAACTCAGAGTACATTAGAATGTCCCAATGCTTGCTAGAGAACCTGATTTCCAGGATTCCTCCTCAGCAAAGGTGCCACTTTATCATCTGAGAAGAAGCCCAAGAAGGCACATTTTAAATCTGCATTGGTGTGATTGTGGAACTGGTGGCTCCCAAATTTCACCTCACACAATACTGCACTGGAAGTTACCGGAATCTTGGCTCCTTTACTGCCTTGCCGAATTTGTGTTGGTGAACAGGAGGTATCTTTGGTCTGTTCCCTCCAAAAAAAGGAGTGAGCACAAACCCAGCTGCTCACATATTTGAGTAAATGAGACAATTTAAAGTATGGCATACCTTTTTCTTGTCATAATAGAAATTTTGCTAAATTCACCAGGATACTATCTTACTAGTTTCAGAGAAATGCTTTGCAAACCATTATCTGAAAACCGTTATTTAAATGATCATCTTTTCTTTTTCCCTTTCCTTTTTCCCTTCCTTCTTTTTTTGGGGGTGGGTAGAGGGTCTGGCCATTGAATCCAAGACATTTGCACTGAGCCACATACTGCTTTGACCTTCTGTTAAGTGTTTTATTTGAGACAGGGTCTTGATAAGTTGTCCAGACTATACTTCAATTTGCAATCCTCCTACTTCAGTCTGTCAGAGTGCTGGGATTACAGGTACCTGCCACCATGGCATGCTCTGGTCATAGATTATAATGCTTATATTTCTTACTTTTTGTTAAAAACTTGAGTAGTTAAAAATTAATAAAACTGATTATCAAAAATGGCATATCATAGCTGAGTATGAGGAACAAATGAATAGGTGAAAATCAAAGGTAAAGTCCTCTGAAAGGACATAGTTAAGTACATTCTTTTAGTAAAGAAATACATGTCCTTGTCCAAGTTATCATATGGGGTCTTAAACACATACACTGACTTGATTTAAATGAAAATGTTTTAGAACTAGGGCTTTAAAAGATTATGAAAGTATTTAAGATTACAAAAAATGAAATCTGCCAGACCTATGACTAAAGTTCACTTGTTTTATGATAATATTTGTCTCTTTCCATTGTCTGACTGCTTTATGCCCCAGACTTGTCTAGTAAAACCCACTGAGGCACCACAGGCTGTTCACAAGTGGTTTCGTTTGTGTGAGTCACCTTATAGTACCAACTGCTGATCAGTGTTGTATAACCTCACCCAAGAGTCTGGCTTTATTGACTTCAGTGGAGTTTGTGATCAAAATTTCCCTTTCCAAAAGGCAAATTCTACAAGTTGCTTTGCAGGACTGTTAAGCTGTATTTTTGTTTTTGTTAGAATGAAAATGATTGTATTTATAGTGCTTATGTCTTTTCAACTGTGGAATCTTAACAGCTTTGATTTTAGCACCCCATGTTCCAATGACAATTAAAAACAATTGAAAATAGGGTCTCACTAAATTGTCCCAGCTATCTGAACTTGCAATCCTCTTGTCTAAGCCACCATAGAGCTGAGATTACAAACACATACCACTGCATCAGGCTTCAATAACTGATATTTTCTACAGAACAAAATAGAAAGCATTGCTAGACTACTAAAGTACTACTTTAGTTTTTTTATGGCAATGACAAGGTATATTTGTAGGTATTTCAGTCATATTAATAATATGTATTAATATATATCTTATGTTGTTACGGGAGCTGTGGGTCATATCAGTCACTTCTGAGAGAGTCTGAGGTCTCTGTTGATATTATAATTATTCATGATACGTAAAATCATTCTCTACAGCATTCTCATGTCCAATCCATTGTAATTGCAGTAAATATTTAGCCTTGGCTTTTCCAGGTAACACTAAATGTTTTTTCCACTATTATCAGGATTTATGTCAGTTTCAAGCCATGCAAAGCACATTTTTCCTTGGAAAATACAATCTCATGCTTTCAAATGACTGATCTAATTTGAATATCTCAGAAATAGTCCTCTCCTTACCCACCCGCCTCCCACTCCAAGTATCTGTTATGGTGGTGATATCCATGATAGCACTGATTCTAACCCTCTCTTGTTCTATAAATTATATCATCTGTTTTCTGATTCAGCTAGAAAAGAGATTTTCCCAATGAATACACTGGGCTTCAAGTTCCAGGCTCACTTATCTCTTGATATATGTCAGTGGCTGCTCTCCTGATCATTTTTGCAGCTATAACCTGAACTTGACCTCTTGTTTTCATCTATTATTCCTTTTACTAAGCTATTACCTACTGTTTTTAATCAGTCTTTTTCATCCTAATTACTCTCACTCTGCTGGTTCAAGTTTTTAGTGTAAAATACCACGCATCCTTTGTGACTCAGCCCAACCCTGAGCAAGTGCTTTCAGACTTTCCTTCGTATTGTCTGCCTCCCACCACACAATGTCTCTTGCTATCTGTTTCTAGCACCAAAAAATCCATTGTTTGTTTTAGGGTTGCTCCTCTAAACTTCAGCTTTTTCTTCCATGCTACTTTCCCAGTATTTCCCTGACAAATTTCTAACCATTAAAGTACCAATGGGAGAAGTAGAGATCCACTAAAAAATATGTGTTTTCCAAGGAGAAAAATGTAAACTTTGGAGGAACATTAACACTGAGATTTGAGAGTCTTCCTTCCTGATTGTTACATGAAGATATAGTTAGCTTTTTTTAGTGCACAAATCTGTTTTTTCATTTATTTTTAAGTGAAAAGTCACTAATAAAAAATGACAAAAGTTAACTATTGAAATAATTTCACGAATTTTCTTATCCAATTTTTGTAAGAATTTTGATCAGAATTGCACACTTGTTTATACTTATGGCTTAGTCTCAATAATATATATACACAAAGACCAAGAATCTTATATGGGTATTTTTATAATATTAAATGTTAGATATTATTAGCTAAATGTAATAAGTTAGGCATTAGTCAAGCTTTCTAATTTAAATGCATATATATATATATATATATATATATATAATTGCATACCTTTTTATTTTTGAACAGTATCTACCTTGACCTATATAGTTCATACTGGAAATATCAGCATAAACTCCCATTACTTCACATACCCCATAGTTTTTTTAGCTATCTGCCAAAATACAGGGTGACCATGGAAATGAAGATGGCATTTCTAGGGAAATAATGCACTCACGATGAGAAAGCAGAAAATTAACGAAGAAATAATCACCTTCCTTATTAATACTCTGCAGAACAGATTGGTTTTATTTTAAAAATGTGTTTTAAGCATGATTCACTAGAGGCTTGAGATATAATTTGATGAATTAATTAATATTCAGGTGGTAGTTGAAGTCATGGATTATATATTTACAACAGACAACATATAGTATTAAAAGTAAAGGTCAGTATGGATTGGCAGGAAATAAATTTGAAACAGGTAGAGATTTTTATACTCTTCCTAAAATGACATCACTTTCTTTTAATCAGAGCCAAGCCTTGAAGACACAAGGTCTTTTTCTAGAACATACTCACAAATTACACCAATCACTTGGATTACTTACACACATAAAAATTGTGGCATATTTATACAAGACTCTTGAGGGGAGAAGCAAAACCAACCCACCATAAATACAGGGAGAGTTAAGATTAGCATTTTCTAAAAGCCCTGTGGAGCTCATAATAATATCTGTTGGAAAATGTAAGAACAAAAAATAAATACGCTTGAATCTATGGATCTTTTTGTATGTTTTGTGAGTACTACACACACATATTTGTGTGCATGATTACAGTTTGGTTCTTAGCTGAATGTAACTAATTGCTTTAACCTGTAGTAAATTTTAGAAATAAGAAGTTGAAATTATTTAGATGTAGTTTTACAGATGAGGAAACAATCCATAAAATGAAGCAATAAATCTAATCTCACACAGATTATTCCTTCCTCAATTCCCATGTCATTTTCCTCTACATGATTAAAATAGCTTTTGTGTTTTTCACCGGGGGAAAGCCATATTTGCCTATGATTTGCATATGTTCTTCTAGCCTCATGTGTTGCTGACTTCTTAGTCCCAAATCCTTGGTGGCAAAATGCCAGAAGTTAAACAGCAGCTTTTGCCATTTGTTGGGTATTACATGTGCCAAGTCATGTACTGAGCACTTAAATCACAGTGCTCAGTACTCAGTGAATTCATCCTTTTAAAGCTCTTATATATTGAGTATTGCAATTCCTGTTTTACAAATGAGAACAACAAAGCTGACAACATGTATATTGTGTCCCAGATAACATAATGTGTTGGTAATACAAACCAAAGTTTCAACTCAAGTCCATCCAAGTACTTTTTCTGTGCTTTGTCTATTACCAGATTCTATCACCAGGGTCCAAGAGGAGAGCCCATCAAACAACAGTCACCTGTATCTTGTCCTTGGAAGACTCTCCTACTACTTTGTGGCTGTTCTCAAGAGCATGATCATTCTTTCCCACTACTAATAAGTATGTTCATGGTGAGAAACAAAAGGAAACACTCTAACAAAGACTTTGATGGTATTATCACCAGGATCAATTTTATCAGAGCAAACTTCAGTGGCCTCCTTCATCAGCTTGATGCATGTTCAAGTCCTCATAAGAACACCATGATAACTGATGTACTGGATTCAGTCTCTCCTTGGCTTAAAATCCTCCAGTAGTTACCTATAACTCTTGGAATAAAATCCACTCTTACATGTCAAGTATAAGGCTCTTCCTTACTCTTTTTTATTTTTAGCTATTTCACACATTCTATTTTCCAGTCATAACCAGGTTTCTTTTTTCTCATCAAATTCTTTCTTTTCCTTCAAGCCCTTTCTCGTGGTGTTTCCTCTTACTGGAACATTCTTTGATATTTTAATTGGTCTCCCACCTTTCCTTGTTGCTTCCATTCCCACACAAACGCTCCTGGTTGATGGAGTTCTACTCATCCTCTGGTCCTCAATTAGCCATCGTTTTCTGGAGGGTTTTTTCAAATTATGTTTAGTCTTTCCCCTACAAGACCCTCATCTTTTTCTGTACTTCACACGATGCTTGTGATGTGTTTACTTTTTCTAGTTAGGCTGTAAGTTCTGTAATGGCAAAGACATGTTGGCAATCAGCAAACATTTTGAATATTCACTCCATCTTAGACACTCAGATATTGTGCTGATCTGTCCAGCAAATCAGTCCGTGGGCCTTCACCTGGAGAGGGGACAGAGATGGGGGCTGGGCAAGAGAAAAGAGAGACAGAGGCCTGGCGGGATTCCATTCAAGCCTCGTTTATTTTTAAAATGGCTACAACTTTTATAGGGTGGAGGCGAGCCAATGGGGCAGGAAGAGGGCACAGTGTTATCTGATAGGTCATCGTCACATCCGGATATATGATGTAAGCAGGAGAGGATTATGGGTAATGTAGGCAGACATGAGGATCATGGGAAATGTAGGCTGACACCCAAAATGCCCTCAGGTGGGAGGGGCAGGGCAGCAGCGGTCATTCTGAGCGGCTCCCTACATTCTGCAAAACTAGGCATAAGACATCACAAGTCTGTCTTGTCTGATATTGCATTTTAACATAAAATATGGGCTTTTCCTCTCATACAAAGTGAATTTATGAGAGAAGATTTTTACAGAAATATCACTGACCTTTCCACTGCATATACATGAGGCAAGACAACTTCTAGATAATAAAATATTGGTTTCCAGGATGGGGATCAGACTGGTTCAGAGGGTAACCATTAGAGACTGCATCTGCCTGGGCTAGATTTGGTGATGAAATACTTCAGGGCGTTGTTGGAGTACTGTGGAATATGCCAAGACTCATGCTAACAACAATAAAGAAATTACTCTTGACCTCCTGAAGCTAGCATATCTCAAAACATCCTAAGTGTTGGGGCTAGGGATTTAGCTCAGTGACATTAGTGCCTGCCTGGCATGTGCGAGGTCGTGAGTTCGATCCCCGTTACCAAAAAAAAGAAAAAGAAAAAAAAAAAAAAAAACCCACACACAAAACGTTCTAAGTGTTAACCCTCCTAGTCTTGATAGTGCTTTTTTCCATTTATAGTGGCAGATTTTGCTAGCACTAACCTAATATAAAACTCCTTTCCTGTATGATAACTAATTTACTTAATGAAACTCTTCATTTACGATATACATGCCAAGAAATCATTGAGATTAGAAATGAAGCAATCTGGGAAAATCAGCAGCACAAGGCTGCTAGTTCTTCCTCAAAATTTAAACTTTGATGAATATTCAAAATTTAGACACTATTTCTTCTCTGACCTAATAGCATCTAAACTAAATCAGGAAACTCTTAATTATCCAAATACATTGCCATATACATTCAGGCCACAGGTGAGAATGAAATGAGATGATAAATTCATTTTTCAGTAATCTGAACTTTGAAAGCCCTTTCTTATCCCAGTATAATTTGTGCTGCTTTATCATTTCAGAAAAATTTGTTATGAGTAACCTGGAGTTGAAGGAAGTTATTGCCATGTAAGTGATTGCCTCTCTAATTTTGTTCTACAACAAATACAATTAATTAAGAATCATAATCCATTAAAAAGATTATATCATTTTACATCTTTCTTTCAATCTAAGGCCACTGAGAAAATGGAAGACATTGAGAGAAAAAATGAAAAAAATAATACCAGATATTTAGGATGAAAACTAATGATCCTACTTCAGTGGTAGAATGGTGAGAGAAGACTTAGACTCAAATTTACAATAGATAAATTCATGATTATTTAAGAGGAATTTGGACTTATGAACCTGAATGTTCACTTCATTTCCCCAAAATCCCTTGAAAGCAATAATTCAGGAAAAATGGTATTGGTATTACAAAGCAGGTGTAGGAGAGGTTACTGGTTGAATACAGCAAAGGAGGTGAATGCCTACCTCACAGAAGAGGAGAAACACAAAAGACAGAGAATCTCACTGTGCAGAATCTCTCAGAAGTTCAGAGCGTAGGACCCTGGGAATCACATCAGATAGAACCCTATGAAGACGCCCATCTGAAAAAAGGGAATTACCAAGGTCTACACATTGAATGGAGGGCCTTTCCAAACAGATGATTAACTGTAGGAGAAGCCAAAATTTACCTGAGAAAGAAGCTCAGAACAGCAAAGGATGTTATGCAACTCTAACAACATTAACATGGCTATGTAGCCAAATTGTGTAGCAGAACTACATTGAGAGGTTGAAGACAAGGCATATTGTGTTATGGCAATAAAAGAAGAATACTTAGAATACAGTGTTTCATTTATTGTATTATCACAAGTCAATAATCATAACTGAAGTTGATATATCAGGAAATAAAATGGATCAAAGTCCTACATGCAATACCTGAAAATATGAATACACTAAAAGAAAACATACTAGTAACATTTTGACTCATTGGTTCAGGCAATTATTTTCTGAATAAGATCAAAGTAAACAGCAAACAAAGCAAAAATTGACAGATTATATCAAACTAAAAAGTTTTTGTACATCAAAGGAAACAACAAAATGAGAACATATTTGTGAACTATTCATCTGAGAGTTAGTATCAAAATATATGAGAATCAAAAACCCTAACAAATGGGGCTGGAGATTTAGCTCAGCAGCATAAGCACCTGCCTTGCAAGCAGGTGGTTGTGAGTTCAATCCCTGGTACGGATAAAAAAAAAAAACTAACAACAAGTAATTAAAACATCAAGTAATTAAACAAAGTGGCAAATGATCTGAATATACAAATTCTGAAAGAAAAAATACAAACAGTTAATTACTATATTAAAATGTTCAATAAACTATCCGGGAAAACCAAATTAATAAAACTACAAAATTATATTTTCTCACTCCAGTTATAATGGATATTATTAAAAAATAATCTCTGCTGGCAAGAATATGGAAGAAAAGGAATGTAAATAAATGGAATGTAAATTAGTATAATCACTATGGAGAAAAGTAAAGGTCTTTATAAAACCTAAAGTAAATCTACTGCGTGCTCTAGCTTCCAATTTCTGGATATGCATGCGAAGGAAATAAGGTCAGCATGCAAAAAGATACCTGTGTGATCATGTTTATTGCAACATCCTTTCCAATAGCTAAGATACTGACTCCCCTAGGTGCCTCTCAACAGATGGGTAAAGAAGATGTGATCTGTAAATACACAAAGAAATATTATTCTTTCATAAAAGAATGAAATTCTTTAATTTGAAGCAAAATAGATGGAATTGGAGGAATTGTGATACCTGAAATACGCCAGTCACAGAAAGACAAATATCACATGTTCTTCCTAATACGTGGAAGCTAAAGTTAAAAAATAAAAATGAAAAATCAACCTGAGAGCAAGACAGTAATGAAAGATTGGAAAGGATGAGGGTGTGAGGGAAAATGGAAACAGATGATTGTATTTGATTCATACACACTATATTCATATTTGGGAATATAGCACTGAACCCCATTAATGTGTGCAGTTAACTTGTGTTAATAGTTATATAACAACAAAAATAAACATCAGGAATATTGTTTATAAATATGGTGCAAATAACAGAGGAAAAAACTGTGAGAGTTGAAAGACATTTTAACTGGGGCATAAAGCTAAAATTTGGGCTAGAAAGCAACACTAGGGATCATAGGTTTTATCAGGAAACTCCTTGTTCTTATATTTTCATAAGTATATGTGCATATTATTTGAATAAAAATGAAATAAATGTGAAAAGAAAAGAAGTTAGAATCTTGGATTGCTACAAAAATGGATATATTTGCCTAGAAGTAATTTTGATTATGTAAAATCCAGGTCACTGAAAGTCGTAGTTTTTCTCTTTTGTAAACCTGACCCAGTGCTAGAGTATTCTTTAGAAAAACTGCTTCTGTCTGGTTCTCATCTGTGTTCCTAGTGCTCAGCAGAGTGCCTGGTTATCAAGGGGGCCTTAAAAGGAGGTGAAGAACATGTAAAAAGATTATAAAAATCTTAATTAATAAACTGCTGCTGAATAAATTGGCATGGATGGGAGGAAGGAAGTTTTAAGCAACACTCAACTTGCAAAAAAGCCGTATATAATTGGGAACTATGCCACACTTTCTCATTTTTAGTGATTCAAAACCAGGGTAAAATCAGAATCAAACCACTAAAAAAAAATAAGTTTACCATGTTATACCTGTGAATTTAATTTTGTTAGTATATATAAGGTGATATTTGTAAGTTAAGAGGGAATTTTTATCTCATATGTATTTTTATGATAGAAATGTTAGTATATAAAAAGATTCAATCATATCACTAATTTGAATGATCAAAAAATGTGCAAATGACTGTGTCACAAATAAAACAGCCATCTAAGTATGAATACAAATTTTGTTTAAAGCATGTATTTGTTTACTAGAGCTACTACAGCACAGTATCACAAACTGAGTGGTTTATACAACAGAAATTTATTGTCCTGCATTGCCAAAAGTGCAAGATCAAGGTACTCATATGGAAAAATCTGTTCTGCTCTTTACCCCTAGTTTCTAGTCCTTCACCAGCAATCTTTGGCATTGCTTGGCTTGTAAGTTCATCCTTCCAACCTCTGCTTTGATACTCACAGAGTATTGTCCATGTATGCATATCTGCAGCCAAATCACTCCTTTTTATACAGATATTATATTTGGTTAGGGATTTTCTCTCAGCTGTTATGGCCTCATCCAAATTAATTATATCTGCAATAACCATACTTCAATTATTCTGAGGTATGGGTTTTAGGACTTCTACATATAAATTTTGGAGAGACAAAATTCAACCTATAACTGAGCAATGGTCTAAACTCTCTAAAGCAATAATCCTCAATCTTTTTCTGAAATATTTGCACCCTAGAACTTTGGTAAAATAGGCAGACTGTGCAGAAAGGTTGGTGGTTGGACACATGGATGTGTCTCATTCTGATTGTTAGACAGCATCCAATCCAGAAGATGATGTATGTCTTTGGAAACGAAACTTAATAGAGCAAGGATCTTTTATCTGGATGAAAGTTCTAAAAGTTGGGATGAAGGGATGTGAAATTTGGAATGAAGTGACCTGGGAAAGGAAGGAGCTCCTTCAGTAGAGAATCCAAGTGAAGAGCTCATCAAAGAT